TGCCCTAAATAAATAGCCTATGCCTTACATTTGTTTTATTATAATTGTGTGTGAGAGATTTAGAAATAAAGTGAAATGAATATTTCTGGATGTAATGACCAAAATAGCATGAATATATCCAAATGGCAAATGGACAAAACCTTACAGCTTAAACACTTTAATGCACATGTTGCAGTTGAAGATTAATTATGCATAAAACTATCATTTAGATTTAATTATATGACATTGTAAAGCTTATGTAAGACACTTGACTGTGTTCAAAATATGCTGTGAAAGAAAAGTGTTCTAGCCTATGAGCCACAAGAGGGCAGAGTATTGCAGCACAGTGCCCCCTTACTATTATTGAACCTTTACCAATATATATTTGTATTTGATTGGCCTAATTTATAAAAACAAATCAATCTGATTATCTGAAAAGTAAGTGAGATGACATATAACAGCTGCATTTTCACCTCCAGAACTCCAGAAAAGGTGACATTTGTAGACATAACACAGAGATGTTCCTATAAGAAAGAGCTTCTAATTTAGGTGTCTCTGCTTCTCATTTTAGCAAAGAAAAGAACACAACACGTTCACTCCAAAAAGGACAAAAAGTTCTTGTTTCTGTCCTTGTTTATGTGTTACAGGTGTCTGTGTGTGAGAGCAGCCATTTCTAAGAATTTGCATACACTGATTTTATTAGGTTGGACAGATTGATTTTAAAAAGGCAACCACTCTCCGCTGAGCTGTTTCGTCTGGCTGTCCACAGCGTTCAGAGATGAATTTAACATGTTTTTTGTGTTTTTGTTACAACACATTCAAACCAAAATGGGGAATTCATCCAAATATCCTAGTGGCATATTTTGAAGAGTAGTTAATGAGGCCTCCAAAAAATGGACGTCAGGTCAGTGAAAATACGTTCTTTGGGTTGAGTCTGAGGTTTTGTCCTCTGAAAAGCAGTCAGCCCTAACTTATATGTCCTCAGAGCTGCAGGCCTGTGTGTGTGTCTGCATTTTATTATGTGAGAAAAGAAAAGTAAACAAGAGTTTGACAGGGAGCAGAGGTGGAAAACAACCAGAGACCAAAGTGTGTGTGGGGGAGTGGGGGGGTGGTGAGGGGAGAGGATTGCATAACCTGTTGAGGAAGAAGAACATGTGGTTTCCATGTCAATCAGCCTGGCCGCATACTGACGCTGACGTGAAAGATCTTAATTTATTTACTACCCACAAAAACGGTCTGTATGCTGCCCTGTCAGTCGGGCACGTGCAGTCATTTTTTACAACTAAGTGGGAACTTCTGTTTGATCGTTTCTCAATGTTTTGTATGCTGATGATCTAGTTATATTTCCAGAGCACATTGAGTTGTGTTTCAACAAGTGAGTTACATTATCACTGAATATTTGTACTGCTTTGTGTATTTTCGTTTGTATTCACCAAATTAAAGTGACAGTTTTTTGACAGCTCACACCAAAACATTCAGAAAAATGGCACTACAGTAAAAAAAAAAGAAAAAAAATAGGTTTGGGATTCTGGATTCGGGGTACACTTTCCATGTAAGATTTATAATTAACTTGCATACTTGAATTTGAAATTGAGTGGCTTCAGTGGCATGACTGCATACAAGACAATGTCGCCAAAGCATGTTTATATAATCAACACAAGTATAATTAAAACAAATAGATAAAAACATATAAAATGTAATACAATTTAATAAAATGTAATTCAATAATTATAATACAAAATATTATTATTATGTCATTAGATGATCTCTTACAGGAAGTAATAAAGAAGCTTAAAATGGGATGGATTGTCACCAAAGCAATCTGTGACTTGCTCTTGACTATGTCAGCACCACCCCCCCTCCTCCATGTCTGGGTGCAGTTGCTACGGTGACCCTGAGAGTCGGTCTGGTCATGTGTGTGTGACGGCGGCAGGCCTGGCATCTCTCCAACACAGTCCAAAAACACAAAGAGCGTTCAGCCGAGGGCATCCTGCCGCTGCGGACCGAGGAGAAGTCGATCCAGTGATCCAGGAACGATGCACATCTTTCATACTTTGTCTTCAGGAATGAGAGGACAGTGCTGATGCTACAGTGTTGTGTCATCCATGATGCCACCAGGCGCCTCCTTAACCACAATCACATTAAAGAAGTCTGGGAATCTCATAATTACATTTTATTTCCATTGGAAATTGCATTTATTCATTTAATTGTGCAATATTGCTTTGGCGATTTATAGTGCTTCTTTATTTAAAAGCAGTTATGGATCCCAGAGGTCTCCTGCTACCGAATGATGGCCGGCCAAACCACTAAACAAACATTTCAGTTAACATTTAATGTAGAGGGATGCTTTTGAGGGTTTTCCACACTGATGATTAAAATGCAGGGTAAACACAGAATACTTTTTTTTGCAAATAAATGGTGCTTTATTTGAAGACAATAAAGAACATCAAGTGTTTAAATCACTTGATTTTTAAACAAGTGTCGGCCTAAGATGGATATAACTGTTGCCTTGTGTCATTGAGAACTCTGATCAGTAAGCTCCATCTCTGTATAATATTCCAGGATTGATTATTTGCACAAGTGTGTTAACAATGAGATGTATGACAAGATGCAGTCATAATATGAGTACCAGTATGGTGAAATACTAACAGTCAAAAAGTCAAATGTGCAATATTTTTTCTCCACTTGAATAGAATTGCCAAGTGAGTAAACAACTAGCATATATTGGTTGGACGAGAAAGCATGGTCAGATTCTCCATCCGGATGCAATTATCCGTGAAGAAAAAGAAACTAAATAGAGTCAATAGTAATAAATAAGACTACAAGTCTACAGCTATGTTAGCAGGCTGTATATTTAGGTACAGCATTGCTTGAGGTACATGCTAACAATGTCGATGCTGACATGCTGATGTTAAGCAGGAATGTTTACCATGTTCACTGTTTGAGTTTAGCATGTTAGTATGCTAACATTAAGCAAACAAGCTTTGGCTGAAGAGAATGTCATTAGTTTTGCAGGTTCTAATCTAAACCAAAGTATTGACACATTGTATCAGATGGTGGCGCTCATCAAAGTTAGAGGGCCTTATCATATCTAAATGACTTAAATCTAATACAATCTGGATCTTGAAATTGAACTTGTATGAAACTTTGCCAAGGACTGACGTCCCATGTCAATTGGTCAAGTTGGAGCCATGGTGAGCATATGGCGGCCATGTTTTTGCGTTATGTCCTGCACCATCCTTACTTTTTGCCCTGGCATGCTTTGCCACTTTGACATATTGAATTAACAGCAGAACCTGCTTGCTAAATCTATAATTCTGATTGTGCGTATTGCATAAAGCCCCTGTCACACTTTCCCAAAATTGACCACCGATGGACACACGATTAAGGAAATGTTCAAATTCGGCTCTGATCCTAACAACATCGGGCCATTCGTGAGGGCATCTTAAGCCATCGTATGACCGCCGGTGGAGTTTTTCAGGCTCTGGCAGCAACTTCGGGAGCGGTGGCAACATCTTTGGCATCACAAAGCATTGCCGAAGGACCTTGTGAAGGTTCATTTTCGTGTTGACTTCGTGTGTCCATTTTGCCCTTCGTAAGGCATTCGTGAGGGCATCTTAAGCCATCGTATGACCGCCGGTGGAATTTATCAGGCTCCGGCAGTAAGATGCCCTCACGAATGGCCCGATGTTGCTACGATCAGAGCCGAATTTGAACATTTCCTTTATCGTGTGTCCATCTGGTTGTTTTATTGCACAACAAAATCATGTAAACATAATATGTAAATAACCCAATTTGTGTTCTGTGAAACTAAAAAGGATATAATATATTATTTTGAAGGCGAGGAAGTTGTTGTTGCTATGGAAACAACATGACGGAGAAAACTTAATATCTTCTACATATAAAGACGGAGAAAGTAAAGAACAAAGTCGGAAAATATCAGTACAGTATCATAATACTTTAACATAATTGTTTGTGTTACTTTCGTTGCAGTTGTATGTCTTAAATGTAATGTAAATGTTGCCTTCGTGTGTGGTTCGGGGCCATCTTCGTGCAAAATTCACAATTCCATATTCGTGTGTCCATCGGGTGTCAATTTCGGGACAGTGTGACAGGGGCTTAAGCGAATCAGTGAGCAACTAGAGAAAGAAACAGGAGAAACACTAGCGTCATCATTCAAGACACATACAGAGGCTCTTTTCAGCTTTCATCCTCATCTGCTTATTATGATACATGAACATTTTCACTGGAATGTAGCTGTAGTGAGACAAGCGCTGCTTTATTGAATGTATGAATCCAAACAACAGCTCTACACTCTACGTTTCTTTTGTTTGTTGATAATTGGCAGGAGGCTTTAGTCTATGCGTTGTGTTCGAATGCGTCTTTTTGGCCAACAGTCAGATACTACTTCTTGCTGTGTTAGAGCCTTAAGAGACTTTTATATTTGACGTTAAGAAATATAATTTATTCAATGTACATTTGATTTAAGAATATAAATAATATCATGCAGTGATCACATTCATATCCCTCTGCGCTTCACTAATCTAAAGTGTTGCTTACAGTTTTATGTGTAAATCTGATTTAAGAGGATTCTTCTGCACTGCAAAGCCATCCTCCAAACCCTCAGCTCAGCTTTTGTTGTTAGAGAATTGGAGCTTACCAGGAACTGTTCCAAGAAATGGGTCTGATCTTTATTATGGGGTATTTAAAAAGGTCTTCATCCACACTTTATTTGTTGTTGTTGGACGTGAACCACAAGGCTGCAGGCTGTAGCAAATGAGCCGGGAGATGATAGGGCATTTTGAATGGGGTCCATACAGACGGGTAAGAAAATAATAATATGAAATGTATAAATGACCCCGAGGAGGCTCAGTATATTTCTGGTGAACCTCCAGACAGTTAAAACAAGCCTGGGATATGTTTAAAGTGAAATCTCATAAAAGATAACAGAGCAACTCACCAGCCTCTTGTAAACTGCATCGCCCACCGCAAGCCAAGAAAATAATGAGTGTGAACAACAGTTGAAGGTTTAATAACTCATGTTTGGTATCTTTATTGTTTTTGCAAATATGTTCAGGAACACCCAGCAAATGTTGAAAAGACTGTGAAACAATATGTGCTAGCAAATGGAGTTTCACAGTGTTCAACACAATGCCACGTGTCCACAAGTGACAGAGGAGATGAACACCAGACACGGGACAGAAGGGTGAGAAAGAGTGTAAAGGTGAAAGAGAACAGGCTTACAGCTTACAGTTTCACCGTACAACTTATACCTATATACTATGCTTACTCAAATATACTTCTCAACAACAGATAATATCTATATGGTCAGTGTTTATGAAACATTGGTAAGTAACATTTGGCATAAATATGTGACGTTCCAAAGACAAACAGCACTGTGCATTTTTCACATAAGCAATGTAACATCTATAAAGCAGAAATGTACGGAAGCATGTTGCTGCCATTAAAATAAAAATAAGTATTCGTTTTTGGTCAAACACTTGTCGAGCAGAATTTTCCTAGTTATGTTAAGACATTTTTCATTATTTTGACAACTTTTAATCCATTGCTACATATACCAATTATTTTTTTCACGCTGTAACATGTTTTTTATCTTGCTATATCAATGAATTTTCAGTATTACATAAAATGCTCCATTAGGGCTAAACACGTTTCTTCTTATAACATAGTAAGTTGGTATAATGTTGTAAAAAAGAGATATCGCAATCAGTCATTCTAAAAGTATTTTATGTATTATGGGATCAACTCTTTTCATATAATATTTTGCGCGTTCTAGATGTAGAAAAACGTTCATCACGTTGACATTGGTCATATTGTGGAAGTTCTCAAAAATTACTTTGGTGAACTTATGGATATAGCTGCGTGCAACAGTAGTGGATGAAAATGCATAAATGAATTTTCTTATGCAGATTTTCTGAAAATTCAGTGAAATACATTTAAATATGCACAACATTTAGAATGGAGTACTTGATGGGTGTTGTAGTTTTTTGTATACTTGCAAAGCATTGTTTATTCTAACTTTGTATTATACTGTACATTGGCCGTCTCATCCCAGGCATTACATAAAACATGACCAAATATAATTTTCTCACTGTCAATATTTCAAGTCAATGCAGGCTACACCGTCCATAATATGGGCATTGCTTTGATTTCTCATTACAACCATATAATATTATAACAAGCAAAAGTGATAAAGTTAAGACCAAGATCTAATTATCATAAATATGCAATGTTAAATGCAAGCATGATTATGTGTTGTGTTTCACATGGCAACATACATAGGATTCCTTCATGACAATACATGTACACGCAAGTAAAAAGAAAATCTTCTAAACAAATAACTGTAACAGCTTTATGCAAATGTGACATGATTAAAAAAAAAAAGGTTTTACTACAGAGAGCTGTAACTTAGTGCTTATGTCCTACAGAGGCTGCAGGACAGGCAAAACAAACGTTATCAAGTCACCTTGTAAAGCAAGATCCAGTTAAAAGCACTTCATAAACGAGGACGCACCTCTCTGTCAGTGCAGACACCTCGGAAAAGTCATAATTTAGTAAATCAAACAAATAAATAGGTCAATAAATAGGCTGAATCACAAGATTACACAACGGGAAGGAAACAAATTGGACCATGATACGAGTGCAAAACAGTGGAATGCAAAACTTGTTTTTTACTTCCAAGATGGAATGCAACATTTGTGGAACCTGGCATCAGAACTCCACATGATTTAACTGGATATGCAGATTCAGTCCCAGGAGACTTATTTGATATTTGAGAAAGTACTGCATATCTTAATATCAGCCTGACCAATCTGGACACAAAATAATGCAGATTTATAATGTACATAACAACCTGTCCAAATTCAAGACATAACATTTTGGAACCTTAAAATGTTTCCAGAAAAGGTTAACTCTTGATGATCCTTCAGGCCAGCTGCAACTGAAGAATGTTAAGACAGCCTGTGATAAGACATTATGGTTACACTGTAATTGATATAAAGGATAACCTTTGTTGTAACATACTTGGGATATTCGTCAGCAAACTACAACAGTTTATTGTTCATTGTCTCTATCCAACTGAGAAATGAAGTGCTGAATGTTTGTGTAACCACCATGAAGGCAGTAAGACGGTAAGGCATATTTACAATTTGCAAAAACCTTCTACAATATGTTGAACATTTCTCTTTACCGGGTGGTTACACCATTAAAACTTTTCACAACGTTTCTAAGTTGAATAGATAATGACCACAGTTATCAAACTGTATGACTTTGAAGAGCAAAGGTGGATGTTTGGAATGAGTAATTGAATATATCCACAACAGAATCTGTCTAATCCAGCCCATCTGTTTGCAGGGATCGACTGACTGATAAAACTGTATTTTCAGGACTTTCTAATAACCAGGAAAAAATTAATTATCCATTTCCACTTTTAGAAAAGTTGCGGCAAATGACTCACCAATCAGGTGGAGAAATGAAATGTGAGATGCAAAAATAACCATATAACTGCCGATCAGATCCAAAATGTACTTGTCTCTTGTCTCTAATAGCCAGAAGGGGGCAACTTCCCTGCCTGCAAAACAAGTATGAATGTATCTGTGAAAATCGACCCAACTTCTCACTTGATTTATTAACTTAGTAATCGTTCTCGTAATAGTCTCAATCACTAGTTTCAAGTCTTCTTCAACAATGCATGATGTTCACTTTATAAGTGATGGTCACAATAATTATAAAATAATAATAATAAGACATTTGTTTTAGGGCTGGGCAGGTTGCTACAATAATGTTGTCCGGTTTGGGTGTTGTCCGTGTTTCTGTCTTACAACTTCAACCCATTTATTGTTTGTTCCGTTAACTGTAACCTTTTTTGGCATTTAAATGTTATTTTAGCGTTTAGTTGTACCTAGCTCACACCCCTTCGTGTGACTGATGGTTCCAGAAAGCCAATATGCCAACAGCCAAAATGGAAAACTTAAGGCTTGAATACCGTAGTCAACAAACCATTGGTTTAACATCACAGGGACAACATCGACTGACATTTTCCAAACTTATATTTAAACGCTTTGACTACCACAAAGGTATTTCATTTTGGGTATACACAGACATTTCTGGACTGGATAGCATGGATTTATAGAACTAAAAGTTAAGGGGAGAAAAAGTGAGGGAACTCCAGCAGTTCAATGTTCGCGTTGAGTGGACCAAAACCAATCCTAAATCCTTCAAATACCGGTTTAGTGGAGCCCAGTTCTTATATAATTCAGACATTAACTGCACATATCATTCTCAGAGGGACCTGTTAAAGAACTGTGACTCATTGTGAAGCCAGTCAAATATCTTATGGTCAACTCTTCACTACACCACAGTATGTACTTTCCTACACCTGGGGAAGTAAAGAACAAAACCCTGCCAGATACATGCAATCCCTCAGGAAGGCTCAGATTTAGGATGTATAGATCACATTAAGTCATAATGACATGTCTGTCTTGATACAGAGCCAGTAGGATATTGTGGAATGGTTCAACAGAGAATAGAAATTGAGCATTTTGAGATTTAATTTGGGGGTGAAAAGCAAATCCTCCTTCTCGAGATTAGAGCAAATCTTTTTTACCCCAAAACTGCGAGAGGGAATGAGGGCAGAGTGCAAAGACCATCTGAAGTGAGTTTCACTAAAGCCGGAGAGTTTAGCGAGCAGGAAAAGGCCCTGATGTAGAGATTGGAAAAGGCTTTGCCACATGTTTGGATCTGACCAGTACTTCAGAGCTGTTCTGAGATCAAACACAAACCAGGTGTTTCAATGTAATCAAAGCCGTTTCATCTGCAGTTTGTGCTATTGTGTGTGTATACAGCCTTGTATGACGATGCATCAACACATAATTAAAGTCAGGCCTGAGGAAACTTCAAAGTTTAAAGAGGGGACAGAGACTATTTGGTCGACCAGAAACATTCACTTACACTCTCAGTCTTGTAGAACGTTAGTAGAACAGGAGCGGTCAACATTGGTGAAAGATCAGTCCAGATGATGGAGGTTTAATCTGGGTGTGTTGGTGTTCCTCTCATGCCAGCAGCTTCTCGGGGTTCTTGGAGAGACTGTGCAGGAGGCTCCTCTGGAAACCCTCCATGGGTATTTCAGGAACCAGGAACTCCAACAGAACATCAAATAGGCAGAAGACCAGATGTCTGAGAGAAAATAGCACTAGCAGTCAGCATCTTTTCTTTAGGGACTTTGGCTCAGTTGACCATACAGTATTAATTCCAAATAGGATACGTTTTATTAGGAGTAAAAACTAAGGTGACTTTCATTTAGAATTTGTTCTTAATTTAGATGTTGCTTTAGATTATTTAAAGTTGAGGACGGGTTAAATGAATCCTTGCTGATGCAACTCAGCATTAATTTGAACAAGACTTGGTTAGGAGACGCTATGCTGTGATAGCTGATGTTAGGCCCTTTCTTTAGACTTGGCGCTCTGTAACCTCTTTGAGTTACAAACTTCCTCTCACTGGACATAATTCAATAAGGCATATACCTGTCTAAATAAGCTGAATTCACATTTAATGATATACATAAATAAGGTCATACGGTTCAGAAGGCTCAACTGACATCTCCCAAGAGCACAATGTGCTCCATAATGAATATCAAATGGAACAAGTTTATACTAAGTACGGTATGAGTTCTTATACCGCTCTCTGTCTTGCAGACACCATGAATGAGAAACCTTAATCAAATACAAATGTAAATGTTTTTTTTATGTAAAACATTATATGGGAAAAGTTAAGATTCTTAACTGTTTGGTTTTGTTCATTGCATCCTGATGTCTGTCTGGGTTTGTGTGTAACAAATAAAAACACTACATGACAGTTTGTTTCTACATCTGTAAACCTTTATCCTCTCCAGCTGTTCATTCAACTTGTTGTTGTTTAGTGAATAAATTAGTCCACACTTCATGATTGCGTTTTCCTGTTCTGCTTATTTACAGAAACTGTAAATCATGCTTTGGGGGTTTGGTCTGCTAGATTTGGGACTGAGATAAGAATCTGAGAAGTAGGGGTGCAGAGTGACCACCCAGCATTTCTTTCCCCTTCTCCATGCATCCCCAAAGCACTGATGCCCTGGGTAAATTTGCCTAAACTGTAAATGGCGACTGACTGTAAAAAAGAGGCCATTGAGTGTATAGTGTATTTAACCTGTTAATGTAGGGGTTTTGAAGAGAGTCCAGCGCAGTCTCCCAGCTCAGTTTGTACTTGTTTGAGCCCAACATGTCAGAGACCAGATCTAAAGTCACAAAGACAAAAAGGATTATTTATCACAGTGTAACCAGCTGTTTGTTGGCTACGTCCATCCCTTTCTCATGATTGCATAGGGAGGAACTAGTTGTATAGTTAGAATAAAGCAAAACAATTTCTAGAGCACGGCTGATACTTGAGTTTTGAGGCTTATACTGAAATTTGAGAATATGACATATATTCTATGAAACAGTTTCTAATTTACCTCAAACATGTCTTTCAAGAAAAAGGTTTTTGATCATTATTAGCCTACAAATACCCGATCATCATAAACAATATAAACAAAATTATCGATAATCTGAAATGGTGCAATAATACTGGCCTTGAAATTAATTGGTCTGGTACTAAAATACAAATTTTTGGTTCAAAATTCTTACTTTTTGTTTGGGTGTACATGTACCTGGTAGGAGGCTCATCAGACAGTGTAAGGCTTGTTGCCTGGTGCTGTCCTTCTGTTGCTGGCTCCGTTCAAGTTGAGGGGCAGTGGGCAGGGCTCCTCCTGGCCACACAGACTCCTGGATGACCTGCAGGTACACCACCCAATATGCAGTGGCTGTCAGGTTGGCTACGTTCACATCCAGCCATCTGAAATTCACAAACACACAACAGCGGTCTGGAGTTAGAACAGTTGATGAGAAGTGTCTAGAAATGGTCAATTTCAAAGTCAGCCATTTTTGATGGGGTTCAACATCCTTGTTTTATCCAATTTTGGGATATATTTCCATTTCTTTCTCTAAAAGTACGGTCAGTAGTATTTAAACTTTACTGCAAATTTTATCCATCAGTGCACTTGCTAGAAGGGCATAGTCAGTTCAACCCCTAAAATGATGAACCGTTGTTTGGATCAATCAGCCACCGTTCATTAACATCATTTTTGTTGTAGATAGATTGATAGGCTTTCTCTATATATATCCAACAGTCTTCGTAGTCAATCTGATGACACATCAATTTGTTCGATCAGTGCACCCTTAGAAGCTAGCATTTTCAGATGTGCATTTTAAGATGTGTTGCACTATTCAGTTTCATTTAATCAATCAGACTTAACACTGTCCCACAGAAAAAAAGGATTGGTTTGCTGGCAGTTTTTGGACTTATGTTCATGGTAAAAATATATCTTATGAAAACTGCTAATTCAGCCAAGCTCAGGAGGATAATTGTATCTCTTGTATAAACTTTATTCGTAGAAATTTTGTGCAACAGTTAACAGAATGCCAGCCAGTTATGTTAAAGTGGACCTATCAAGCTATATTTGAATAATATAGTGCAGGACCATACCTATATAAGGCATATTTATACTTTTTATTTTTCAAAATACCAAACAGGTCATGCATTTTAGCCATTCCTAATTTCGCTCAATTTAACACTGTCTTTTCATGGGCTGATTCTGTGAGAACAGCACCATCTACAGGCCTGGCATATGTTCTACAGCGTCTCCAGCACTTTCGAACGGCAACGTCCGTGGATGTCTCCTCCTGATTGGTGGAGTTGGCCCAATAGCCGTAGCGCCACTTCTGTGACGTCACAGAAGTGTTCAAATCTCGATCAGTCTGTATCAGATCCGTTGCAGCCCCTTTTTAAGAGATTTGGGTATGGAGGAAAATAGAGAGGGTTGTGTTTTCTGACACTTGGTGAGTTCCCTGGAACACCGGGGACACATATTCATGTATAAAAGACGTACAAAAGTGCATTTTGCATGATAGGTCACCTTTAAGAAAACAACAGTAGAAAGTAAATAAAGAGAAGCTCTTGGAGATGGGCCAGCTAGAACGTTAGCGGTTAGCTCTTCAGATACCGCATGTCACAAACAAGCCCTGTGAGAAGTCATCACATCACCAAGCGTCCGGCCCTCCCAATACTTATGTCACTGCTGCTTTACCAAAAAGCGTATCTCATGTCACAGCACAAAGAACTTGTTTACAGTTGGTTAACTTCTTGACTTTAAGGTCGGTCAGTCGGTCAGTCAATGTGGTGTGACCTTGCCATTTTGCCTGACCTCACCATTTCTCAATGATCCTGGTCTCAGACCGGCCAATCCCTTCAACTTATCCCATGCCTCATTGCACTCCCACGCGGATTTTAAACCAAAAAAATGCATCACAGGGGTCCAGCCTGGCGCAGTCTCACACTGGAAGTGATCTCAAACTGAGGCCATCACCCTCAAGCCTGCTATATAACTGGTGGATTTAAGGTCTTGTGATGAGTACATTCAATAGGCTCTGTGTAGCTCTGTGACCTTTGTCATGCCAAGATTTACCATCAGGGGGTTGAAAACAAAGCCAGTCACAACCCAGACTGGATGAGGAGGTTATTAAAAGCACAAAGTAAAAGCTAAAAACAACATCTCGATGTAGCTCAAGTATTCAAGCATTGTACAGGTCAGGAACATCAATCTGTGGGAGGTACTAGTCATTTGGAATTAGTCAAAATAAAACAAAGTTTGTATATATAAAATGAGGGTGTTCAACACCAATAAATCTTGAAAAATATAATTTCAGGTATTATAAAAAGATTCACAGGGCTAACAGACCCTAAAAACGTAACACCATGCAGATGCTGTTATGCAGCTATGTCCAAACCTCAGAGCTCTGTTAAAAAAAAACAGGGACCTCCCTCTGGTCCTAATGTTCGGCTTCTTTTGCTCACTTCATTTGGTCCAAAATTAAGTTATTTCATTAGCTTGTTCTGGCCAGTTACCATGCTGCTGGGCTACTCTAAGAGAAGCTATGGATGGACAAGTTGTCCAAGCCAGAATTTTAGGTTTCACTACTTTACACTTTTTTGTTCCATAGTGTTTTATAACAGCACAAGGGGTGCCAAATATGTAATACTAATAATAAAGTATTTTCTGTTCCTTAAGTTCAACTGCGGCGGAAAAACAGATGCGGGAGACATTTTCTCAGATAATGATGTATTAATTTATGTTCCGGGAAAAACAGATCACAACTTCAGCCCCAACAAACACAAAACAGGCCATTAGCAGGGCTCAGAACTAGTCAGAGGTTTAGTCTCATTTGTGACTCAAGCACTCGGTGCACTTGATGTTTTCATTTTAGGATAAAGAGTTGTTGAGGTAACAGGTGACCACAGGTGGACCAACTATAATCATACAGCTAATGCTAACTGGACACTTTCTGTACGATGTGGTAAAAGGAAAGTGCTAATGTTATCGATTTGGGATTTGCAAAACAGTTGTAAAAAAAAATGTTTTATCAGAATTCATAGGCTGTAAAACTCAAATAGTTCAAACGTTGACTTTAATCAAATGTAATTTGCCAAAAGGTTTCACGTAATTGTTTTAGGTTAGATGAAAGCAAAACACTTGTGTTGTACTTTATATTTTTGCTTTTAACTAACCTAATACTGTATGTGGACAAAATTAAAGTAAAAAAAGCCAAGTTTCAATTTTTTTGTAAAGATTCTTCAGTCAACCACTGAAGCTAAACACTTGTTCGAAATGCACAAATATTAGACAGACATGTATTCAAATGATTTGAGTTTGGGTGGGTTTAAAAGAACTTAAAGGGAAACAAATTAGGTTGTAAATTCTTCCCTCACACATACACAAACACATTGTTGCAGATTACATGAGTATGTTGTCGTCTGAAGTCTAGCCTCAGCCCCAGTAACAGTGTATTTTGGTCGAGGCTGGTTAAAGCTCAGCAGGTGGACAATGAAGATTGCCTCTTCACCAGCTCATACCAGTCAGAGACAAGCTCACTAAATCACTGGGTTATGACTGGCCACTGCAAACAGGAACATATGGAAACAGAGACCTACAGTCACTGACAGCATAATAGTAACAAAATATTATTTGGACATTTACACTTTGTCAGGTATTCAATCGTGTCTTAAGAGCTACAACTATAAATCCCTAAAACACCTGATGGTTACATGGTGTTACAGGAGAAAAGTGTTGATCATTCCTTAATGGGCTTGAAGGGCCAGTGACTGCCACACATTCATTTGAATGTTTTGGATTTGGACCGGAAGCAACTTTTCTAGTTTTACACTTTGGATATCCTTGAACAAAACAAGTCATGGGACCAATTTTCCTGTATGTAATTGTACACAAATGTTGAGACATCATGCATTTCAGGATATTCTCCTTAAAGGTTTCCTGCAGTGCAATTGTTGTGGTACCATGATAAAAAAAGAAAGAAGGAAAGCTAGAAGTGTACAGCGGGACAACCAATACAACCAGTCTGCCATAGTCAAGGTTGATAAAGACTCTGTGTAAAATGAAGACAATGAAAGCAAGTGCAATCACAGCTACACAAAGTTTCAATCTGTGAAGACAGAAGATAAACTATCGGAGTAAATCATTGCGCTAATACAGAAAATCCGAGAAATCCGTCTCAACTCAGTTGACCCTATCACACAATCGTCACGTAGCAAGCAAACAAGTGGACCTCGAGTTGAGATTGTTTTGCCAGCTGTGGTTTCAAAGGTCAAGAATGAGCTGCAAGCTTACATTTATTTGTGTTAATCGTACAATGAATGGCAGGGAACATTTACACCTATAAATGGTCTAATAAAAAGGTATCCAATGGGGTTTTAGACTAGTAACCTGTTTAGTTTGTTTAGTGCATGAGGAGGCATTTGCACACACACTTGGGACACATTCCAGACACTTGCTCACCAATGCAGTGGTCAAGAGGAGGTGTTAACGTGCCAAGGTGTACAGCAATCTGACAGCAAAGAAGGAGAAGAAGAAGACTGGGAGCTATTTAACATGGATATATCGCACCGGTTTTTGAAATGGTAAATTACGAAGGTACAAATACATATATGGGCTAATTGACAGATAATTGCAGATTTTGCTCAGAACTGATGTAACATCTTTTGAATAAGTATACTTTTTAGGGAATCTTGTACACCTGTAGTTTTTGAATGCCAAACACACTCCCAATATAGCATCTTGCATCACTCGGTGACTTAGCTATAAACACATACAATGCAATGTGAAATTAACTTCAAAACTTCCGTCATGCTATGCAAAAATTGATTATAATTGTCCCAAGTAGAAAACACTTCAAAAAATAAAAACATTACTCTCCAGAAGCTCTTGCTTAACACATGAGGACAATAACTTTGTGTGTGGTTAAATGTGGACAACATGAAAGTGTTTTTAAGACCTTAAAAAAAGAAAGCAAAGCAGATAAAAAATAGTGTTTGGTACCCATAAATTGTGTCTGTGTTAATGGCCGGAATTATGCACTATGTTCCTATAAATAACCCGCTGGTTAAAGACAGAGTGTCCCAATCTATCTTCACACTTCAGTCTTAATTAACACGCTGACACAGTCTGGTCTGTGATCAAATTTAATTGAGGTCACGCAGTCAAAGACTGCTCCAAGTTTCCATCGGCTGAGACCCATCAAAACATAATCAAGATAATGAAATAAGAAAATACCAAATTCTAGGCAGGAACACCTGGCAGCAACTTGTCAAGGCCAAGCAGAAACTATTTATTATAATACTCATGGTTAAAGATATTAAGATGATAAATTAGAATCCCAAATCTGCAACCTCTACTGCTGCATAACATTCCCGAGTGATAGCCAAAGCCAAATTGGGAATCAGAT